GGAAAAAAAAAGAAAAGGGGGAAAAAAGGAAAATATGAAATCCACATAGATCGGATATATCGGACAGTAGTAGAACTGGCATAATTACAATGTCTCTTCCATGGCTTCCATAATTCCATTAAGTTCGTTTTCTTGTATACGTTTAGCGGTCGATTGTAGTGACATGCATTAATATGAAACAATTTAAGTCTCTCTCAAGTAAATGCGTAAATAAGCAAAAAAAAATTATAAATAACTCGCACGAATGTAATCTTGTTGTTGCAAATTCGAAGATTAAATTGGCTTTTTCAAGGTGGAAAAAAAACATTTAAGAGGAAGGCCACGTAAGGTTTAGGAACTCCATAGGAATAATTTGTCCGAGCGAATCGGTTAAGCGAATTTAGTATTTTTGCGCGATTCTTAAAATAAACTTGTACACTGCCACGTCCATAAATAATAATCGTACACCTTAACAAATCTGTTCGAACATTTGTTACAGTATACTACCGATACAACAATAAACACTGAAATTACAGATACATCGTGAACAAATGAAAGGGAGTGCACGGTGAAAGGTAAATGCGTAGTTATAGATATTTTTACAGAATCTTCCTAATAGCCAGCCACATGGACCGCATGGTTGTCCTAACCTCAAAACATAACCTCGCGTCTAACCCAAGCACGCGATGAATTTCCGCTATCCGGACAAATAGGCGCGGCAAGAATATTGGAAGTATAAATTCGATGGAGGAAACAGATTGAACTGAATAAAAAATAAAGGAGTAAAGCGATATATACTTACCAGCATTCGGCACAAACCGTGGTGTATTACCCGTGACCACGGTGCTGTAAGGTTGGGGCGAATGGACACTTTGTTGGTTGACGTTCACTAGAAGCTGAGGTTGATGCTGTGTCGGATTGTGGTGGGTCTGTTGTTGTTGTGAATGATGTTGATGATGATGGGACAGGTGGTGATGCTTCCCTTTCGTCGGCATGCTCATCGCAGGCGTAGGCCTCCCTTCTGTAAACTCTCCACTACCTTCAAAGCTTGTTGCCGTATGTGGCTCTCTGAGGTCCTCATAGGTACGCTATTTTCTCACGCGCGTAGTTAACCGTAATATTTTGTTCGATCTCGAAACTTCTCGTGCAAGGGAAATTTTTCTTGAAAAAATATCGGACGTACACAAAATGATGGTTAGCGTTCGGTCACCCGTACGAAACTGATGGCACGTTTACACGCGCGCGCACTTTAGTCACGGTCAATTCGTGCACAACACTTCATATCCTGTTCATCCGCGGTGCTTTTTCTTAAAATAACACCGTTTCCCTCCTGTATTCGTCGGTAAATCCGTGTAGCTTGATTTTCACGCTGCCTTTGTCCGTCGGTTCATTTGACTGAAAGTGTTTACGTTCTTATCACTTTCTTTTACTAAAAATTCGCGCGCGGTTGCAGTATCCAACTGCGCACGGTCGCGTACTTTTGCACGATACCGATGGATTTATTATTGCCGACAGCCTTGTGCACGCCGTTCTACTCAACTAAAATGTCGCGTAAATTGTCTGACAAACAGTGGCTGACTTGTTTTCTTGTAAGAAAAAAGAAGCGACGCGCACCGTATATTGAGCACAACCACAGCACGCCTTTCTTCCCATTTCCTTGTATCTAACGCTCCTTAAAGCTGATACAAAAGTATTTATATGACGCACGGCACTCCTAAGTTGTCCAAGAAAATTCAGGAAATTATCGGTGAACGGTATTTATCAAATTCTATTAATTGCAAATCACACCGACCGCGTGTGCGTTAATTAATTCCTCCAATTAGTAGATTTTTTTAAACGACGTAAACGGCTTTATGGTAACGTAGAGAAACGAAATTGCACCAACAACCACCAATCATGTACCTGGCATGAACTATGTAATCGACATAGAGTAGCTTGTATAACTATTCCATTGGCTATTATTGTTATTACTATTATTTTTATACGACAAATGATAACATTTGAAAAAGCGTAATTCGGGGAAAGATATTTTAATCAAGGATTAACGTGATCTGTAATCTGTACCATAGAGCATCATAGATATAGATAAGATTGCTCTTAGTGTTTTCTAGAAGGCCGAACACAGGGTAGTCTTTCGAAGAAAAGTCCTGCATGACAGAAGTTAGAATTTAATAATATAAAACGTTATTAAGGACTCAATTACGAGAATTAAATTGATAAACTTCTGAAACCAGAAATCATAAAAATTAAAGTAGGTATAATTCAGAAACAAACGTAGAAAGCATAAAATAATTTCACAACTTTTGTATAATTATTAATTTAATACATGTTGTTAAATCATAATGATACATGTAATGATATTTAAAATGTTTTTTCAATTTTAACCTAATTTTAGATAACCGGAAAAATTTCTTTTCAATTCAGATTTACATAATTTCTATGTGTTATTTTAGAAATGAGCTCTCATGGTAAACTAGAAACCGAAAAATTAAGAAAAAATTTGGAAGCACAATTGGACAGACTAGTGGAACAATTAGAAGATATCGAAGAAAACAGGTATATCAGGAACCATTGTACTTGTTGTATATGAAATAAATATGATATATAATTCATTGATTGGACAGGAGTTCGTTAGACGATGATATGTATGAAGAGGCTGTGCAACTTACAAGGGAAGACTTAGAAAAGTTCAATGAAAGTTTACAAAGAATGATATCTGGTGATACAACATTAGTTGATCAATTGAGTGCCATACAGCTGGTATGTTATGATTATATAAGTAAATCTATAGAAAATATTTTTATATCACAGAACTATATTCATTTATGTATGTTCTCAATTACAAATAAATAGGCAGCACAGGCAGCAATTAGCGAAGCATTCAAAACTCCTGCAGTTATAAGAATGTTTGCTAAGCGGGAAACAACACAACTTAGAGGACGTTTATCTCAAATTGATTGTGATGTGAAACTTGCAAAATTAAGCAAAGAAGATGGTGACCGTCAGCGAAGAGAAGTATTGAATGCATTAAGACAGCTTGGAGAGAAATTAGAACCACATGAGTTACAATTATTAGAAAAATTGAAGTCAAGTAGTATAGATGCAGCAAGTTATGTACAAGTTAATGAGAACACAGAAAAAGGCAGAATGGCTATGGCAGCAGTAGGTGATGAAGTTAGAATAACACAAAATATTTAGGTTCACATAATTCCTAAATAATAATTTTTAATCTTTGACTGAATTGACTTCTGTAAAATATGTTTTAAACAATTTTAGATGCTGTTTGCAAAATAATATTTGTTATTATTGACTTGTACATAAAAATGTAAGAACAGGTTGTGTATTACAATGAAAAAACAATTGTTTTTTTGGGTACAAAATCTGCTGAAATTTTATATTTTGAGAATTTTAATATAACTATCTTTACCTGAATTTTGCAGTTATCTTCTAAACTGTCCCATTATAAGATACCCGTCATAAGTAGAATAATCTATGATAAGCAAATATATTTTACCAGGTTTTATTACAGTACATGTAATATGTATTAGATATGTTTTAGTAAAATATGTATTTGATTTATTTCAATATTATACTTACAAACTATATGGATGATTCACGAAACAAAGACACAAGTAAATAAATTTACATGTATTATATTTCACATCATATTATTGTTGTCAGTATGTATACATACACATGTTATATAAATACATTTTGAAAAAGTATATTACAAAAGCAACATCCTTTGTTAATTCGTTCAAAATAAAGTTCTTTTACTTGTGGAAATTTTTTCGAATTAAAGAAAACTATTTCAATATTTTGCATTATACATAATCGTTACTGTGTTTTATCTTCCACTTCATTTAACTATTAAATATTACACTTGTTCCGTAATAATGTTAAAGATTTAAAACAAAAAGGAAAAAAATAGCTTTTAAACATTTGTTTGTATACATATTACAAATGCTTCCACATAAGAGTTTACAAAAGCTTGTCAAATTGGTGTCAAGAATATATTAAAGTGCTTCTACAATGTATCTTCTTCTTTTTACAAACACAGTAGATGGTTCAACTTTTTCCACGGGCTTATTACTTGATTAGAATATATATTGCATCAATTATCAATTAACGCTTACGTCGACAAACTCTTTTATGTTCACGCTGCCAATGAACTTGCTGGCAATCGGTACTGCAATATGCAGTATTCCAACAACAGTGATATATAGCTTCAGCTTCACAATTGTAACACTGAAATCATAATATTCATTAAAATGTATACGTGGCAATATTTACACATATTGTATACAGAAAGAAATTAAAGGATCATTACCCATTGCTTCTTTTTAATCTCGGATATAATCTGTTGATGTCTATCCGTTAGTTGTCGTAATTCTTTAGCATGTTCGGCTTGTAATTTCTCTAACTCTTTACATTTTTCTAATTCTAATTCGCGACGCAATTTTTCTAATGCTGTCGTGGTCGGTTGTTCGGAAGTTCTGCGTTCTCTTTTTATCTATAAGAAATATACCATTAATGCATTATAGCAATAATTATATAATAAACGACAAATAAGTAACTACAGTGAAGAGTGTCACAAAAAAATAAATAAATAAAAAATATCGTCTCTAAGAATGGGATATCTATGACTCTTTACTAGAATATGATTATTATATTTTGTACCTTTGCAGGTAATGTTTCTGTTTGCATCTGTTCTGTTTGTACAAGGACACATTTAGATCTTGGTTCTTGAGAACTAGACGTAACCATATCTTCTTGTGAACCTTCTTTCTTCAAACCCTGGGGACAGGTACTAGATATTCCTCTTGCCGGTTCGTCCTCTGCTACTGGTAAACAGGGCACTTGTCTTTCTTCACTTTCGGCTTTACTTATCGACGACTTGTTGTCTTCGGTCTCTTTTACCTCTTGATTCGGCGGTAATTCGCTATGACCGTCTGAACTGAGGCGTTCCACTTTAACTCTTAAATCCTTAAAAAGTTGTTTCGCAGGATTAGAACTGTTCGCCGTAAGTTTTGAACCTGATGATACATTGCGGATCTTTGTTGGTTTCGGACCCTCATTATCGTCGGCGATGTCCAAATCCTCGATGCTCTTGCCCAACTTTTGCAGCAAGTTCTGATGATGCTTCAGTTCTTCGAATGCTCTGTTCCAAGCAGTGGATCTTTTTATCTATGGAAGGTAAATTGTGCACGTTTTAAGAAATGTTGATTCCCCTTGCGACTCCACAATGAAACGTAGTGGTGAGAAATTAGTTGTACACTTTAGGCTGCTGTATGTGCATACCTTCATTTCTTTCCACTTTCCTTTTTCCGAAGGCTATGCAAGAATTCGTTGTTAAGATAATAATATACCTAAGTGCAACAACAATTTCTAAATTTGCTTTCTCTCGACAGTTCTCTTCTATTGTGTCAGTGATACGATACACTGTAAATGGCGTGTAACCTAAACCGAGAATTTCACAGTGTTCGCGTGACAATTTCGCGTGAAACTCCGGGTAATTTTTTTAATTTATCTTTACCTGTAAACTTTGAAGGCTCGCAGTAATCGGACGAATGAACACCTTCTCGATGTTGGCGCGCATGTGATGACCGCCAAAAAACCTGACATCATAAATGTTCCCATTGAATTGCATGACTTTAGCTGGCCAGTACGGGTATCCTTTTTGTTTTGCATAAACTAGTTGATGCGGTGGATTGCACGGTATACAAAACCACATTTTTTCTGATTTTTCATTTGATATTCTATAACAATCGGCGCAACGACGGATTTCTTGAAGATCATAGCAGCAATCTTGGTACATTGTGTTACCCATTTCTCCGATTACACTGTGAGCTAAACGCAGAGAATAAACTTGTTACTTTATTGCTATTTTTACGCAAGAAATTTTCTTTTTCCGAATATATACCTCCATGATACACGATAATGTTATGCAATATATTATGTGCATCAGCTTCGAATTCCGCGAGAGTGTTATATTCTCGTTTTTTAATTTTCGAATCCATTATTGCCAAGTCCATGTGATGTTTTATGAGAACACTTGGACGCCATGCATCTTCACCTTCACTGATCCAAGTTGGACCAGAGTATCTATTAGCTGGTGTAATTGGATCATTGTTGAATACAATTGTACGATTTGTAATTTCTGGTGGCAGTTTTGCTTTCAGATGCCCACAGGTAAAACTCAGAATGTGATTCAGGTCAAGTTTATCAGGATATGTGTCATTATTTATACTCTGTAACAATTATTCTTACTTTATCAATGTATAAACTTGGGGAAGTTACTTCAAATATTATATACTTACTTCACAAAAATTACATATTTTTAATTTAACAGTACTAGGCACGTGACATTCAGAATGATAAACCCTGTAACATTGTTGACAACATTCCACAATTCCAGCCTTATGACACTTGCAACAGTACCAATCATGACCATCAGTAGATACCGTATCTGTTGGTAATCTGTAACTTTCTTGCTCTATACCATTCTTTGTTGGAACTTTCTTTAAATAAACAAGTCCATCGTCAACTGCTTTATTTAATTCTTCCTGTGCTTCTTGTTCTGTAATTCCATACACCCGAGCAAGGTGTCGTACCATACGATCATTACTAGGTAAACTTCTTTGATGTACAGTTATTTTTATTGCATCCCATATTCGTTGTGTCATAAATGGATCAGTTTTTCGACGTACAGACATTGTGATAAATAAGCACTGAAACATAGAAAGAGAAACATTAAATTTAACTTTACTTCATAAAGTTCGCTTGATATTACCAATAAATAATAAATAATCTTTCTACCAAACTATTAAATGTTTGGAATAATGACATTCAAGGTTTACTCTTGTATAAATAATACCAGCATTTGCAGTTCCATAGATACATAAACTATCTGCCCTCATATTCTAATACTTTCATATCTAACATGCATAACAGTTATTTCAATACCCCCATGCATAACACTGTTCATTAAGGTATAATATTCTTAATGCATCAGTTTCTACTGAACAGTTCTCTTTTGAAGTTTACAACATACATAAAGACAAAGCATAATATTCTATTAAATTAAATATTTCAGTGTTCCATTATGTACTTTATTGTGCTCAGTGTAGGAGCATACGGGTTGCTGTTGTCCAGTGTTATTACAAGTGTGATATTGTTAAGAAGACGATTTAAGCAGTGGATGGATACATCACTATACATTTTATCGTCTTCTGATGTATTGTTTTCTGTACTTACAGCAAGTATATTACTTATAAATTATGTGAACACATATAAAGAAAATTGGGACAACACTATATTTTTAAATAATAGTATGTGGAATGAAATAGATCAGAAAGATCAATTCATTAAATTTCATGGAATACTTAATAGTATTATAAATGAAAATAACTTTGGTATAACTCCTGCGTGTAATACTATGCAAATAATAATGCAATATGGAATGTTCCTTGTTCCATTCACAAATTCTTTTGTGTCTTTATTAATGTTTTCTGTACAATGCAATTTAAATGTATCTAATCTTAAAAATCAATGTTCCAAATCGTTTCAATTGAAACAATATGTTGAAGAAAATAATGAAACAAATCAATCTGACATGCAGAACATAGAAAACTGTGAAACAATTGAATGTAAGAAGGTGCCATTCAATTTAAGACCTAAATTAATGGAACTTTATAAGTCAAAATTTCTAAACATTTTTCGAATGAAAGAAAATAAGAGAAATAATAAAATCATTGTCACAATATTTGTAATCAGTCAGTGGATCATACCAATTGTTGTTACAGGACTTTTGTATTTAATGGAACATGATAATGGAAGTTACATTGATAGTATAGAAAAAACAGAATGTTTTATGGGTAGTGATCTTTTGTTTGATGATTGTCACAATAGCTTAACAGTCACAAATACAGTAGAAAATTACTCTGGTTTGAATGCAATAGAGAAATATAAGAATTACAGTAATAATGTAGAGCTAGGGAATACAATTAATGTAAATGATACACAAATAAATGAAGTAGTATCAAAAATACAAAATATTATGTATTCTGCATTAGATGATACATATAATACTTCACACTATACTAGTCATATAGGACCTTATAATACCACTGAACTATTGAATGCAACAAAATATTTGGATCTTAATTCACATACAGGGATTTTGGATGACAACGATGATGATGATAATAATGTGAGTAATGAACAGAATTCAACAGAAGAATCAAAATTGGTAACAGAATATAAAAATTCTTCAGAAAATATATCAATTGAAGAAGATAATTTAGATAATAAAATTACTGTGAATATTACTGAAGCATTAAAATCAAATGTACATGTAACAGACAATCTATCTACTACTGAAGAACTTATGGAAACAACTACAAAGAGCGAAATGCCGATTATTACCAATGATGAAATATATGCTGAAGTACTTAAACGTATTCATAATACTGTACACAACAGAGTAAAAAATAATTATAATCAAGAGCAAAAAGAAAAAAAACCAAAACAAAGAAATCTACAACAAGATTTCAATTATAATTATATAATAAATAAGCCTAATCTTTCCTCAGTTATTCAATTTATTGCTTATAAAACTAATAATGTCTCGAATATAACTAATCTACATGTAACAGATAAATGTTCTATACCAGTACAGTTTCTAAAGGTACACTTACTTTTGCTTTTATTTATAATATATTTTTTACCAATTATATTTTGTGCAATTTTGCATCAACATGGAAAATTAAATTGTCAGCTTGTTCTGATTAAATTGAGAACAAAAGATCAAATACCATCAATTACTTTCAATGATACTTTTTCAAATAATATTAACGATGCGAGTTTCGAAGGCTCTATTGAGTCAAAAGAAGTTTTAACATCAAAGCAGGACAATTGTAACTTAAAAGAAAGTACAGGGGAAGTAAAGGCAAACTTGACAGCATTAGAACAAACAGAAATATTTAATGAAAATTTTACAGAAAGGAGGAACAAACAACACGAAGTTAATGAATCCGATAAAAGAAGAATGGAATTAAATATGACTATACAAGCGGAAAACACATTAAAACTTTTTGATACTATTAAAATGTCTTTGTTATGTGGAATTGTATTATGGACACCAATATTTTTTGAAGTATCATGTAAAATATTTGCACGGGTATTCATACCAAAATGGTTATTCAGTATTACATATTTAGTTGCTGTTACGTTTGGTATTTTAAGAAATTTGTTCAATCTTAGGATGATAAAACTACAAGACAATGATACAAGTATTACAAAAGTGAACAGCATTCATCCCATTGTGTAAATCACAATCAAATTATACATATCAACCACCAATTGGAAACAAAGTTTATTCAAAAACAAATATTTATTTTAACATAAAATCTTAGTTTCGTTTACAAATGTCATTGTTACAGTTTATTATCACTAACGTGATACCATGAAAATACCAAAATTTAATGCGTTGTTATTATGCAATTGAAAATTACATTTACAAGTTATATCTATTACTATAACAATATTATAACAATACCAATTGTATGATTTCATTTTAGTAATATAATAATCCCTTATTATTCTGCAATCGCAATTATGATCTTAAAACTATGAAAATCGAAATTTGCTTACCAACGCTGATACACAAAATTGCAGTTCATGTACTGTTACTTTTGGATTACGACCAACGGTATTGTATACAGGATCGCAATTAGTTGTCAGTTCATATTTTTCTGTTCTCTAACGAAACTTGTTCACGATAAAAGACAAATTTTCGCCGACGCCCGACAGTAATAATAAGACAATAATTAACAATAGCGACGCGCAACTACATGCACGTATCGCGCACGTCATAAGTTTAACCTAACCTAAATAGTGCGCGCGCATCATATAATTCAAAATTGTATCGCATTGACTCTTAAAATATAGTTCCGATATGTTTTTCCCCTGTAACGTCCTGTAACTTGAGAGACGTGGCGAGATGATCCAAAGCAGTAAATACTATTTTCTCATTTTCCTTATCAGTTGGTGACTTACTCCAACCTGATCGCCAAAGACAGAGAGGAATAATATCGAATAAGTGAGAGAGAACGAGATCAACACAACACTTGTACGATTGGCTATACGACTAAGCAGCATAGTTTGTTTCGCTTTAACATTCGTGTATTTACACGTGTTCTCTCTCACATACGTTCGGTTTTCAAGCAGGACAACATTCGCTCTCCGGAAGATCTCGTTTTGCACCTTACACGTTGGCACGTGCTATGTTCAGGCAAATGATTGAAATTCAATTTTGTTATTTTTGTAGGAGAAATATTCAAATTATACCTTAGGTAATATCCATTGCTGGATATTGCCACGAAGCTGCTCGAATAGAAATAATACGCTAATGGAATCGTTACAGCGCGAGGAGAAAATATCGTGTACAATAATGGAATATGTAAAGTGAAATCCGTTGAACGAGACGAGTCAGTATGGCTAGAGAAATCTCAGCATGTTTCCTATTTTAAGGAAGTATATGAATTTGACTCCGCCCCACTCAAGTGATCATTAACTGAATTTATTTACTGCCACTGGCTTGGCTCGCAGAACGGACTATAGATAAAAATTTTGTAATTCACTTTATTACTGCGCATTGATTAAAACTATCAAGCGAAGATTTGTTTAGAGTATAATAAAGCTATGTAATCGTTTTCAAGTATAATAATATTCTTTTTAATAAATTCTTGTACTTTCATTGTCATTTGAAATTATAAGGAATTTTGAAATACTTCTTCCTCTAGTGTCTTCAGAATGTCCGTACCATCGCTCCAAGGAAATACTCGAGCTTTCATTTTCGGGATATCCATTTTTTCGGTTCCGTTCAGTATCTTAATAAGCATGTAATCTTTTCGCGGAAAGACCAAGTCACGCTCGCTGAGTCGTAAACTTGGGCACAAATCGTTTTTCCCGTCACCAACGTAAACCACTCGATCGAAATGTACACCTTCGCTTTTTCGTTTCTTAATATAGCTCTCTAAGATTTGTCCTTTGCATAAATTAACGGTGCTCAATTTGCAGGAGTCCTGTACGTGGTACATGTCTATCCTTAATACGCCTTTCTCATCAACTTTCGCTGGATTCGTAAACACATGAGCGATGACGTGTTCTAATTTCCTACTCCTTAACCATTGTCCAATAAATAAAGTATTCGAATCGCTAATAATGATTACTTCGCAACCTTGGGCGTGTAACTCTTTTAAAAGTGTTTCGACACCGGGCACTGGTGGTATATTGACAATTGCTTTTTCGATTTGCTTACTATCGATCGAACAGCCGTGCAACAATTCAAATATCTTCGCCATATACGAAATCCAACCCCTAGTACGATGCAATTCCTTTACGCTATCTGTTAACTTTTCCGGGGGCAACAGCTTACGAACGACGACATCGGTATTATCGTTACTAATCGTGTGATCGAAGTCGAATGCGACGAGCACGGATCGATGCATCTATTAAAACGCAAATAAATTATAAACGAAAGCTGTCTGATTTTTTTTTTCCTTAAAATAAGTGGTGTCGTTTTAATAGATACCCTTCGAGTACCAATTACTCATAGTACAGATGCACTTGTACATTAGCTATCATTTCTATCGGTATATGTTTGCTTGAACTATTTATAATACTTGCGAAAGGTGAAATGGGCAATTGTATCGTTAACAATATAGAAAACTATGCAATATTTAAAATAAGAAAAAGTGAAATAAAATAAATGAAAAGACAGAAGTACTTTTATTTATGTAAATACATCGACACTTGTAGAGAATTTTGAATTTAATGTCACTTACTTTTAACTCAGTTTCTAAGCATGCATTGAACCGTAATTTCCACTTTGTCGGGTCTGAAAGGTAATGAAATTACTACCGAACTCGAAGACAGATATCCGGCAACTGCCTGTTTTAGGTTAAGCGCTGCAGTATCATAATAAATAGCATATGTATTCTCTCTATGTATGTGTGAAATACATAGGCCATTTTTACTGGCTATGAATTTATACATAAATTTACTTCACTGCTTCTTCTATCTTATATCTTACCCTTATCGATACATTCCGTCATATAAGATTAAAAACTTGCAATTTTTGAAGATACAGCTGTCTGAACACAACTTATATTTTATATAAAATTGATCGATTTATGCATATATATATTGGTATATGGGTATGTATTTCAAACTTCATAAACATAGTTTCTGCATCTCAGAGGAAAAATACTTAATAATTTATTTTAATCCATTCTTTATGTAGATATTTATCTTTTATATCTTCTGGTATATAAAATATAAATGTATCGTCAATTGTAATTAAAAATAAATTATCAGGTGATGTTTGAACTCATATGATCGAATACATCTTACTACTAATCCGTATTTGGCATATTTTTAATAATAATTATACATCGTTGATAAATGTCAAGTTTATAAATGGCGCCTAGTCCTTGTGTACGATAAGTAACACATGCGTCATAGCATTTAAGCGTTTTTGAATTTCGTTTTTTGAAAGGAAAGTACGCATACTTGTTTCACGCATTGATTCGTCACTAAAATAAACAATATGTACGCAGAAGTTACTGAATTATCTGATGAAGAGATGGAAAATGTTGAGGACCGTTCTTTTTCAATAAAGGTGCTGAAATGTATTTTCTAACCTATGACGATATACCGGCTTTCCTTTTAAATAATTGTATTGTTGTAACATAGTAGTTTTTATTTACAGAAATATTCTACTGAGAACATCGATACATTTGTTAACTATGTGGGTCTAGATGATAAATATGTTCTTGAATTTCATGTGAGTAATGCGTGTATGTCGGGTCATTTGCAAATCATTCAGGAATATCTTCAGTGTAAATATTTTTCATTGTTGATTTATAATTATTTCTTTCTTTAATATAAAATATTACTTCCCATTAATATTGTATAATCGTATGTATATAGCACATGATATTAATGGCTTTTTATATAATGGCTGGACACCACTTTTATACGCTGCATCATGTGCTCAAGCAGAAACCATTGAATACCTAATACAAAATGGAGCTAATGTTAATCAACATAAAGGTATTATATTCTTCTTATATTTTGTACATTTTAGATAATGATATTTTATGACTTATGACAAATAATATTTCAGATGGATATACTTCATTAATGGCTCTATGCAGTTCCACAAAAAATACAACAGAAGAACGAATAAAATGTTTAACATTACTTATAAAAGGAAAAGCTAATGTACATGCTATTGATAAATATAGGTAAGCAGTTGCAACAAGTAGACTTACACACAGTTTTACAATCTAAAACTTATTAAATCTGTTTTATAGACAAACTCCTCTGATGTATGCATGTACATCGCAAGAACCACAATTTGTAATAGAATTATTAAAATATGTAAAAAATATTAATGCTTATGATAGTAGAAATCAAACTGTGAGTCCTTTATTGAGAATATCACTGCAATACGAATTTAAAAGAAAAATTTATATATTTATTTCTTTATAGGCTTTAATGTATGCAACAATAGCAAACAAACCAGACATAATAAAAATACTAATAGATAATGGAGCTGATGCTACATTGACTGATTATAATAATTTAACTGCTAAGGATATAGCTTTAATGAAAGGACATGATAAGGTAAATAATATTAAGTTGATGTACCAGTATAAAATACCAAGCAATATTTATATAACCATTACAGATAGTATCCTTATTAAACTTCAATGAAGAAGAAGAAGTAATAACAGTCAGTGAAATATCTAAAATATATGATTGGAAAGATATGTTTCCATCATTAACTGTTATAAATGCTCATACTATTGACTTTGATGTATTCACAATTTTAAATGGTATGGGATTAGAAACATATGCTCGTAATTTTGAAGGGATGACCCTTAAAAATTTTCTGAAATTAACTGAAAACGATCTGTGCAATTTAAAAGTAGAAATAAAGGCCCATAGGACACAGTTTATGGAATTTCTCCATAAGTTTCATAGAAAAAAGTGGAATATACGCAGTATCGGTGGTATTGATAAGTCCTTACCATATACGTATGTTTCTTCTGAAAATTATAATTCTAAAAAATTATTTCAGATATAAACTCAACATTTTTTTCATATTTTCCAGAATATATGATGGTGTTGTCTCTTTGGGTATTATATCTAAACAAATTGCAGTCATAGGTTCTAGTTTTCAGTACATTAAAAATGGTTTATTGGCAGCAAATAATGAAAATGTATACTTAACTTCAGAACAAATATCCAATTATGAGGAAGAACTGAAAAAAACCCAAAAGACACTGGGCACTCTTAAAAGGGAACTTACGCTAGTAAAAGCACTTTCTAAAAGGGTAAGCAAGTACTCTATATGAATTACATATTATATATAAACTATTTCAAAATACTTTTTCCTAATGTAGGTGAAAAAGAAAAATGATATTGGTATACCAGCTACATATATAGGTCCAAAAAGACATAACTCAAAATGGCTACTGTCTTTAAGTATTGGCACAATTATTAGTATATACTTACTTAGAAGAGTATATATCCAGAGATTAATTTATACGTAATAAAAAATGATTTAACCATTCTTTTTGATTATATTAATAAATTACTATACAGAATTCATTAGTATTATTGCATACAAACGTGGAAAATTCTTGGCAAAATACACATTATGTTTACAAATTTTACAAATTTTAATGGTCATCCAAATTAGCCAACTTTTTCATTAATGGAAATAACGGATGAAACGATGGAAGATTATGTTGTCTGACAGTTAATTGATAACGTTCTAACGGACCACTACAAAAAGTTAATCTGTCCCTTTCATTTGGATGTTTATCCATCCATTGGGACAATCGTCCCACCGACCAACTTGCACTCTAAAACAATAATGTGTTTACCTATCTTGAGGTCAACGTTTCATAAATAATTTTGCAATGGGAAAAGCTGGTAGCTCGTCTACAAGTAAACCCAGATTATTCACATTGCCGTACCTGATGTGGAGATACCAGTTCCGGAGGTGCTGTGCAAAATAAATGCAGAAGAATAAGAGAGCGTGGTATTCCGCTTTCTCCTGCTCCATCTAACACTTTTTGGACGATTTCTTCTGGACTAAGCGGAAGCAATACTTTTAATGCTCGCAATGTTCTATATTGTTGTTGTTCTGATGAACCTAATTGTCCACCTCTACACAATGGAGCAACAGCTACTTCTATCTAAACAGAAATAGGATTTATTTTAAAGCTTTTTTTATACTATAACATACCACGACTCTTTAATGATATAAATGCTTAAATTTCCACAACATGGTAATAACCATACCTGACTGAAGTCAACAATGAGTTTTGCTCTTCCAAAATCTGTTAAAGGTCTTAGTAAACAAGCATGTCTTACAAAAAGTTCGATACATCGCGAAGCAACTGTCTTGCAGCTTAAACAGTAATTAAACAATTAATATTATGGGACAAATATCATATGAAATATTATAATTGTACTTAATTACCATTCGGCAACAACGATTTGATTTTTATATGGAACAAGGAATGTGTTCACAGAACGTAAAATAAACCCTTGTAATTCGCGCATGTACAATGAAGAGTTAATTTCTTTTCCTAAAGGACTGCTTGGGCTGTGCAAAGAAAAAATGAATGTATCATTAATCGTACATCACGTATGAACACGTTCCAATTAAGAATTAAGATAATTTATTTACTTACTCCCGAAACTCTGGATCATCGTGCATAGTTAATATAATACTTTCAATAGCATCGCTGATAGAGGATAATAACGGTGCCAGTATGTTCTTTGTTAGCGTATCTGTTTCCTTCAGAGCTACAGAAATTATGGTACTTCCTTCAGTTGGCAAACCAGCAGACAAATTCGCCACTACACGACTTATTTGACTAGAAAGATAATACAGCAGGTTTGCGAGAGACACGTTAGTCTGTTGTACAGTGGTAGGCGAATCGATTACTTGACTAGCTTCTCCTCCCACAAATAACCCCTGTTCACACTTTAAACAGAAAAGTCTTACAGCTTTGCCTACGTTACGGGCAACAACTGTCGAAAGACCATCATCGACTAGTGATACGCTTAATTCGCTAAAAATAAACGATTAAATGATGTATTTTTAATATATGAACACAAAAATAAAATATAGTACAGTTATTATTTTACTTTGTTACTGTACGAATGAGACTATCAATTTCGTCCTGAGTAGGCAATCCTTCACCCGAGAACATGGTATGTACTGGATCCAATAAACGTGATACTGAACGTGATAAGTATGCGTTTTCAAATGGAGACAATACATCACGACTAAAAAAAAGACCCAAAAATATGTAACATCCTTTGGAAAGTAAACAAACTCAGTACAAAGCATCTTTGGACTTACTTGATATTGTAAATACCAATATTTTGTGATCTTTCCTTCAATCGTTTGCTTAAGTCAAGAAAGACCCTTAAAAACTTTGGGTATTCACCTTCTAATGCTTGTTTAACAAACGAGGAACCTAAAAATAAAGGACAAACATGTTTAACTTTTAAAAAGAATCGGTTAAATTCACACTTACCTTGAGCGCGTTCAACTAATACTTTAGAAAGTAAATCATTAACTTTGCTCCAAAATTTTTGCGATAATTCATCTAATTCTTTTGCGTGATGTTCTAATAGAGTTCTTTGTAATAATTCAATCTAAAATAACAAGTATACTTTACATCTAACAAAAATAATACTGTACGAAAATATTACAGTAATTATTTCCAATTACTTGTAAACACTGCGTATAAAGGGTATCTTGAAATAGTCTTTCCAAATTTTCCCAAATTCGCGTACGCAAATTTCCGGACGATCCTGGAGAAGGGATAGCTACCCGTCCGGGTGCTCCCCTTCTACTAAAATCTTGATTTGTTGCTAGAGTTACATCTAAAGATTCTGTAGCAATTTTCTCAATTTCTGACAAAGCTGAGTCCATAACATTATCTACAGCTCCTTTTACAATTCCTAAGTTTTGAAACACTTGTACTGCAGTACTGACCTGTTTGTTAATAGTTTATAATTATATTATAGCATTTATAAAAACCATAGTACTTTCAAACCTAATGTGAATTGATATACTTTTGTTCTATCCATTGTTTGTAAGCCCTGAGATAAAGTGTGAGTGGCTATTCTTTGCACTGTTGTTCTGTGAGTTTTAACAGCCTGTTGATCATCTGCGATTACATCCAAACCATTCAAATCTGTATCCATCATCAGTTGCTCTAAAAGTTACAATTATTTGTATATATAAATATTTCCTATTTTCTAAATATTTTGTTTCATTTTATAAACTATAATTTATTTTAAATTACTAAGTTCATTTACCTAATTCATGAAGACTATTCGCAGCTTTTATGATATCTGGGCCCTGTACATTATTTGTCATTTGAGAATACAAACGTTTTGATAAATGTTGCATTCTGGCAACTCTACGTAATAAGTCAGAAGTTTCATGCAACCTGGCTAAAACAACAGTTTGATTTTCAATTCTATTAAATGGATCAACAATCTTCCCACGCAAGCGTTCTACAGCTGATAGAAGACTCTAAAATTTTAATCATTTTAAAATTATAAAGTCAACAATATTCTTTTGAATAATTTAACTTTAAAAATACCTGAACATGAGATTGCATTATTGAAAGTACACCTTCTAATTTTTCAACCCATGTTGCTTGTGATAGTAAATCTTCATGATTAGCTAAAACTTGTTTTTGTAGCTCTGCATTTAATATTTCGATAGCTAAAATACATAAACATGTGCATAATGAAGCATATTAATAGTTTCATTATCAACATTAATTAATTCATTTACCCTGTCCCAACTTATTTATTTGCTGTGCTACTGACAATGCTTGATTGACATCAGATTTTTTACATTCACTACCTCCAAAAAATTGTTTGAAAAATTCTGAAAAATACATAGTTAGATATATTGCCATTAAATGGAATTTAAAATATAATTCAAAAAATAAAATACCATCTTTTTCTATTCCTTCCCAGCTTGTAATTTCATCCATCCTCAGGTTATTTAATAGTATGAAAAATGACACGTCACAAAATTGTATAGGTTGGTAATTGATGAATTTAATTTTTAAGAATATAGTTCGTGTTCTCCTTATTGATGTTACCTCTTATATTGTACGAAACAAGACATGAATTAAATTGTATTTATTTACGTTAAAGAAGCTTTGTATAAGCGTCATAACTGTATGTGTGTCTAAATGTACGCATTTACTTAGGTACCCCGCAAAGGCCGTATGATCAGTGGTTGTACAGTTTGTATATATACGAGTATGCGTCAAACGGATTTAGAACATTGAAGTAAAATTAAATTAACATATAAATTTGTTCAGTGTTCTCTATTAAACAAATAATCCTGGAAAATGATTCACAGTTTGTTTATTATAAATTCTTCAGGGTAAGTAACAAATTGGCGAAAAGAAAACAGATGTGACATTTGACAAGTATTTGGTTAGAGGTATACATGTGCTGTTATTAAACTGGGTATTCAATATAAATGTATTTATTTACATGTAATTTGCTTTATGTTCAGAGATGTTTTCATGGAGAAACATTGGAAAAGTGCTGTTGCAAGATCATTATGCGACTACTTTTTTGATCAACAGCGAAGGGTTTTGTCTCCTGAAGATACACCACCTGTAATAGCTACACCTCATCATTATCTGATTAGTATATATCGTTGTAACATGTTCTTTGTTGCAGTATGCATGACAGAAGGTATTTATTAAATTTTTGTTCAAATTATTCTAATTATTGGATTTGTTTCAAATGATATTCTTCCATTACAGTTCCACCATTGTTTGTAATTGAATTTTTACATAGAGTTGTGGATACCTTTGAAGACTATTTCAGCGAATGCACAGAGACCATTATAAAAGAAAATTATGTAGTTGTATATGAATTGTTAGATGAAATGTTGGACAACGGATTCCCATTAGCTACAGAATCTAATATTCTGAAAGAACTTATTAAACCACCAAATATTTTAAGAACTATTGCAAATACTGTTACAGGAAAATCTAAGTAAATATCTAAGTTGACAAAAAAAAGTATGAAATTGAATTCAATTTCATTTGATTCTAAATGTATTTATAATTTATAGTGTTAGTGCAACATTACCAAGTGGACAGTTATCTAATGTTCCTTGGAGAAGAACAGGTGTTAAATATACAAATAATGAAGCATATTTTGATGTTGTAGAAGAAGTAGATGCTATTATTGATAGAACTGGGGCAACTGTATTTGCAGAAATTCAAGGCTATGTAAGTTATAAAATTTATTGTTACACAATGATTTTGATTGTATCTACATTGTAATCTAATTATAGATTGATTGCTGTATAAAATTAAGTGGTATGCCAGATTTAACACTCTCTTTCATGAATCCCAGATTATTTGACGATGTTAGTTTCCATCCTTGTGTCAGATTTAAAAGATGGGAGGTAAGAATACACAAAAGTTAAATAAATTTATCATTTATATTGTTAATGAGATGTGTACTCTTTTTGCAGTCAGAACGAATACTTTCTTTTATCCCACCAGATGGTAACTTTCGACTTCTTTCTTATCATATAGGATCACAAAGTATTGTAGCAATTCCAATATATGTGAGACATAATATTAGTCTTAAGGAACCAGGAGGTGGTAGATTAGATATAACAGTGGGACCAAAACAGACTGTTGGCCGTACTGTATGTATGAATACACTTTTATATATGATAATAAAAAATTAAAATACCATATATATTTTAGGTGGAAAATGTGACATTAGAAATTCCAATGCCAAAAATAGTATTGAACTGTACTCTAACACCAAATCAAGGAAAATATTCATTTGATCCAGTCAGTAAAATATTGCTTTGGGATATTGGAAGGATAGATGTTTCCAAATTACCCAATCTAAGGGGATCGGTATACAATTTTTTTTTTATGAAAAAATAAATATTTAAGAAAATATTAAAAAGATAACTATATAAATTTAAAAAATTCCAGATCACAATTCAAAATTCAGCTAGTGTAATGGAGTCTAATCCTGCGATTAATGTATGTATGCATTGTAGATAGCACTATAAGTTACAGTACATAATATTAAACAAGAAAGTTACTATATTCTGTTTTAGGTACATTTTACAATTAATCAATTAGCAGTGTCTGGCTTGAAAGTCAATCGATTAGATATGTATGGAGAAAAATATAAACCCTTTAAAGGTGTCAAATACATTACTAAAGCTGGGAAATTCCAGATAAGAATGTAGATAAAAAATATCAATGGTTTCCTCATGAAATAAAATATTTTTCATATTCAGAAGTACAGATGACAAACCCACAGATATGACTCTTATCTACAAAAGTGTAATACTCCTTATAATAAATTTTAATTATACCTCTTAATGTAAATAATTATAAATAAAGATAATTCTTTTATTAAAGAAAGGAATTAAATTTCTATGAAAAAAAATATTAAAAGTTATTATGATGATTTAATTTTATTAGTAAAGAACACTTTGTAAAAAGACAAATAATCACGTTATTCTTTTTATACAGATTCTTAATTGTATTTAAATTATGAGCCTTAAGAATAATTTACTTAAGTACATAGATATTCATGTCATAGATTGATGGCACAGTATTCTTTTGGCTTCAAAATCTTCCCATGTTGGATGCGTGGTATATGTATATAAACGTTCCATATTAGTAGCATATATAGTGTGATTACTAACCAGATTTTTGTATATCTGTTTAATAAATAAGAAAAATTTTAAGTACAAGATATTAGAGATTACACAAATGTATTTATATAATTATCATTTCCTACCTTCAGTGTACGTTGTAAATCAGCTGTACTAACAGGTTTTAGTGGAGGTGGAATAGTCTGTGGAGAACATGCATAAGCAAAAGCTGTAGCTTGTTCTGCTTCTTCAAAATTTGGTTTTATTGAAGGTACTTGACCATAAGGATCTACTATTTTGGTTGCACATTGATCTGATGATTGTAATATGCGAGTGGAATTTCTTTTCCATGAACTAGGAACTGGTTCTCCAATATTGTAAATGAATGAACCTTCTCTTATTGCGTATCCCTTCCTCCTAGTAAATATTGCTGTCAGTATATTTTTCAAGAAAATCTGGGTTGCAGCTATAACTATGTGTGCAGTATTTTCTTCTGCTCCATCCATATTATTTTCCCATGCTGCAAGCATTAATCTTGCTAGGACAAAAGTTCTATCTGGTAATACAAGTTCCTGTGCACTAGATCGGTTTGCTCCAATGGGTTCATCTCCAACAGGTGATGAAGTTTGATTCAATACTTCAACATACATATCTGCAGGCTAAATATGAAATATGCATTAGCAAAGAAAAAGGAATAATCAGTGTGTGGATGGAATATTCTTCCACATAATAGCACTCAAAGAGTGCTGGTCAGATGAAACAGGAATTATCAATATTCATTTGACAAACCTCGAAATTTGATTTATCAGTTTTATATTTGCGTTTTAATCTTAGTCTTTTTTCTTTTATGACTTTTTCTCTGTCTATTTTACGATTAGGAGTAGCAGCAGCTAATCCTCTTACTTTATTAAACAGACATAAAAGAAATTCATTATGAAGATGTACTTGATCTTCTGTCATAATATTCCTTGCCTCACAATCAAATTCTTCTTTTGTAGTCTGAAACATAATATTTTATAAACAATAACACTGGTCACCATACAGTGCTTAAAAGTAAAATTAAATTACCTTCATCTGAAACCAAAGCTTCATTTTTTCAAAGTATCTGTCAACAGTAAAAAAATCAATATTTTCAATGAAAATTGTTTCATAATTTATAAAATAATAAGAAACCTGATAGAAAACAATGACACTGTATATTTATTATTCACAAAATTAGAATTACGCAGCACCGAGTGTGCACAAATAACCTTTACTTAAATGTCTTAAATTGGCAATATTAAATAATTTTTCAAAATAGAATACATATCTTACACTTTTGCATTTTCTCCAAGGGAAGCTACAAGACTCTTTCTGGCCAAATTCAGTTCTTTTGACGTCGTCATTCTTTAATTAGAAACCTCACAAACTTAAACCAGATAACCAATTTCAGTTGCACTTTATAAATAATATTTTATTACTTATTTTCAATTATAACGTAATATTTTTAATTTGAGTGTAATACTCTCTTTATCTTTTTTCTATAATTTTTTATGTAAACCATGTTCACTGTTTTGACATTCGCTTAACACATTTAAAATTCTGTTATACAATTCTCCTACATAGTTTAGAAACTGTAAAGATGTGCCATGCAATATATCTTTTTGTACATGGCTCTGTAATACTAACACGGTAAACATACCTCATAACGGTAACGTAGAGAGTGATGTTAAATGATTAATGACTTATCTCGTGAGCAACGCTCTGAAGGTAATATAATATAAAATCTAGAACCGTTTCTTTTTCTACAGTAGATAATTCTTACCACTGGTTGCACATTATGTTAAAACCAAGTCGGTAAGAATCATTTGTGCGGTGCATAAATTTATGAAAGAAGTGGAATCAGTTGTCAATTATGGGGAAATTAAACGTTACAGTTTTACGATATTTAACGCGAGATGATTTCCGTGTTTTAACTGCTGTGAGTACTTTTAATTATGTAAAACTAATTTACCATTTTATTTGCTTGTAAATTGAAATTTTGTCCCAGTTTCAGTGTATTTTGAGGTTATGTAGTGTTTTTATTTTGGTTATGAGTTATTTTGAGCTTTTGGTTGCACATTTAGTTAAAATTTAAAACATTGTTTCTGAAGCTATATCTTTGTTGATTAACGACAATATTATACATAACAGTATATTGCAGATCGAGATGGGAATGAAAAATCACGAACTTGTTCCAGCATCACTGGCAGCTCAGATTGCCAATTTACGGTATGGTGGAGTTCATAAATTAATGAGAGAACTGTGTAAACACAAGCTTCTCAGTTATGAACGCGGCAAACATTGTTAGTTTGTATACAATATCAATTTTTATTTATTTTGAGTTTGAATAGTTAAAATTATTTGTTATAAGTCAATAAGAAAGAAAGAGGAATAATGTGCAGGTACTGAAACTTTGATTTTTAAATTATTACAGATGATGGTTACCGATTGACAAATGCAGGCTATGATTATTTAGCCCTGAAGGTATTGGCCCAAAGGGGTATTGTCGTGTCCTTTGGCAATCAAATAGGAGTGGGAAAGGAATCTAACATTTATGTTGTTGCGAATGAAGAAGGAAAGTCACTTTGCTTGAAACTCCACAGACTGGGCAGAACATGTTTCAGAAATATTAAAGGCAAAAGGGATTATCACCAACACAGAAAGTCAGCATCATGGTTATATTTGTCTAGAATATCCGCAACAAGGGAGTTTGCTTATATGAAAGCACTTTACGATAGGGGATTTCCAATACCAAAACCAATAGATGCCAACAGACATTGCGTTGTCATGGAGCTGGTTGAAGGTGGACCTCTGTAAGAAAAACTTGTTTGCACATTTTGCTTCTGCATCACATACAATGCATTCAAGAACTTTTTATCTTCTCTTTTCAGGTGCGGCGTATATGAAGTGAACGACATTGAATCCCTTTACGACGAATTAATGAATTTAATTGTGAAACTAGGGAATCATGGAGTTATCCATGGCGATTTTAACGAATTTAACATTATGATTACAGACAGTGGGAAACCGATTCTTATTGATTTCCCACAGATGATTTCCACAGAGCACGTTGACGCCAAACACTATTTTGAAAGAGACGTAAACTGCGTGCGGGATTTCTTCCGAAGGCGTTTCGCTTATGAGAGCGAATTATATCCAACATTCGAAGATATTTCGTAAGTAGTAAATCTCGGAAGTATTTCACGTTCCCTGTAGCACTGTTGTATCACATCGCAATTTGTATAATCTACGAACGATATGTTTATGTTTAGAAGAGAAGATTGTATCGATGCGGAAATTAAAGCCAGTGGTCTGACAAGGCAGATGGAAAAGGATCTATTAAAAGAAATGGGAATATTGGAGAACGAAGACGAGGAAACCGCTCAAACAGAAGACGAATCGAACAAGGAATCTGAAGAAGAAATTAGTAATCTACGGCTTCAGGTTGAAGAGTCTGTCAACAGTGAACTAGCGAGTACACCAGACGTTCAGGCATCGACGTTGGCAAACAACCTGGGAAATGTGATGGACAGGACGTTAAATCTCGAGAATGAACGACCGCGAGATGACCATGTAAATGCTGACTCCGACAACGAGTCTGCAGATTCATTTGACTCTGCCGTGGTAACCTTCGATTCAGAGAACGAATGTCCGGAGATTGTTAAATCGCAGTGCGACTCGAGGAGCGTGTACAGTACAACGACAACCGCCACAATTGCCCCAGAAGTTATCAAAGCCAAAGTGAAGGTGGCGTTACAGAAACGCGGGAAGAAGGAGCAGACTAAAAGAGTTCTCGTGAAAGGAGAAGCGCACGCAACAACCAGAATTAGAAGAGAAAACAAGGACACCATTAAGCAGTCGACAGGAATATGGGGATGGGAATGAAACGTACAAATAATTAACGACCGTTGCAGACTGATCGTTCCCGAGTAAAAGTGGATCACCACCGATAATAAAATGCTCTCCGTTCATTAAACAGGCTTTTTCTTTTCCTGCGTGTCGCTCCAAGAATGTAATACAAAATCTTGAAAGCTACAAGCGAGGAGAACGAATAGGCCGACGAAAACACGCTCTTAATTCTACAAACACGTGCTTTCATTTTATCAGTCTCGTCTGATTACTTAAGCAGCCGATATTTTTGTTTACAACATCTCACGCATAACATTCCGAGAACAAACGATTACGGGACGCCTGTAATCGACACGGTCTGGAAACAACACCCTGGAATTGTTCGCGAACAATCAAGTTACAACGAGAACAAGAAATCACAGTATTTTTAGAGTATTTTGTAAACTCGGTAAACGTAATCACAGTGTTAAGCAGATAAGATAACGTACGCTTGTTTGACACTGGATACAGAGATAGAAGGAAGCTCGCGACAGTTAATCAGGCAGGAATAAACCCGCGAGATAGCTAATTTCGAAAAATTATCACCTCGTGCGAATCACCTCATTATTCCCCTGCGTTAAACTGCAACGAACAAAGATTCCCTCAGGAACATTTCCCGACGAATCTCACTCGTCCAATCGAGTAGCGGCGAAACAAAACCGATCTCCATAAAAATTTTCATCAGTCGTTGCGACCTTTCCGTTAGCTTCCAGAAGCGGATGATTGTGCAACAGATCATCGATCCTGAACTTTGAACCGAGCGGGAAGCCGGTCTATTAAAACTTTGGAAAAATTCCGTCGGAGCGGTTCCGATGTGTGCGTCAATTTGCGAAACAGAGGCGAAACAAAATCGGAGGCAAAAGCGTGGGCGGGAAGACGAGGAAGGGGGGAAAGTGGCTCGCCCGTTGGCCGCGGCGGTGGGTGTACGAGGGAGGGATATTTTCGGAAAGAGAGGATAATTCGATAGTGTACCGCTGATAATGCAGCTCGCTGCGGTGACAACGACTAACCGCGCGGTTGCTCGAGTACTCGCGTACATACACGTACACACGCGCGAGCGTGTCTATATATACGTCGCGAGTAGGTATATATTTATTAGGCGCGTATGTATATATACGAAGACCGCGCGCTCTTCTTTCCTAATTCGAGTTTGATTCCAGCACTCCGCGGTGAAACTTTTCCTCCGTTTCGTTACACTCGAGTCCAACCGTTCAATTTTCGCGGACGTGTCGATCATGGCCCAGGACAATCTCACCGGCATCCTCTATGGCATTAACGATATACGACTGGTTAGTACAACACTTTGAACACGTAACGAGCGTGGTACTACGCACGGATGAGCAGGCCTTTTCGCGTTCCATTCTCCGAGACTCGACTTCGAGCACAGGAATCGTCTATTTCGCGAGTACGTTAGGGAATTATTTCGCCAGCGACGACTCTTTGCATTCGGAGCAAGGAGACGCGATCTAAACTCCGTCTCGTTGCTCGAGATTCATTGGAATCAGTCCGCTCGTCCCGATTAACGCTCGATCGCTGAACGTAGATAACGAGCGGATCGAAGCTGAAGGGTCGCGACGCGACTGCGACCCGGTGTCCGATGTTAACGCGGCGCGAAGGACAAGGTTGTCTATTTTCGTCGCTATTCCCCCGTTATACGTTGGTACCTGCGCGGCCAATCTCTTCCGCGTTATTATCATATTAAAGTCGAACCGATCAGTGTGTTACGAGAATAGAACGCTTTAACGAGTCCAATAACATTGCGCCGACGCTTTGTATATTCTTAATTCAATTCGAGGCTTCGCAGTTGCCGGCCGGTCGGTCACCTTTCGAGATTAAATCACAAAACCCCGTCGTTGAACAATACACGGCCGAACTGTTGAGACAGTGCCACCGAGTGCTCGCTTATCTGCGTAACACGCGATCGCACTAAATGACGGTGCTTGAGTTTCGAGCATCGGGCTTTCCGTGGCTCGCGAAGATTTCGGTTGATATCGAGTGCAGCTACTCGAACGCGTAATGTTACACGTCATCGGATACTCACGTTGTCCGGACACGTGCGCAATTAGATGCACGCGTATTTCGGGAAAGCGAGGAGAACCGGCGCTCGTACTAAGCGCACACTGATTTCTCGTTTCAGGAACAGACTCCCATCGAGGAACCTGGCGATAACGGTAAGTGCCGCATCCTTTGCGTTCGTTTCTTCGTTAGATCGTGTTAGGTTGTAACGTAGCCGATTTACAACGATCAGTATCTTTGCGTTCCGTTTTAACCCTCTATGAATTTTTTTTCATGATTATAACAAAATCTATCCAGTACAAGATTAACCCTTTGCACTCCGAAGTTTTTCACAAAGATGTTTTATTTGAATATTTCTCAGATTGATGCATTATATGAAGTATCATATTAAATATCAAACTTAGCTTCACTGTAGGAAATCAAGTGGTGAGAGTCACCTCCCGAGTAAAGGGTTAATAAATATCCACATATGAATACGAGTTAACAATGTATTCAATAGTTTCAATAATTTCATTAAACATTTGTATTTTTTAACTTTCAATGACATTGAACTGCCACGCCTGAGGGTGTAAAAGTTCAAGTTAACCGATTACTCAATTTTATTCACCACTTTGCCGTGCAACATGAAATAAATCAATAAGATGCTATATTAACACACTGCGTACCGGCTAATTTTCAGAAAACTGAATTGTGACGGCAATTTTCACTGAGGTCAACTTATACCACTACACACAGAAAAACTCAGATATCGTATAGTTATGTAATATATTTTAAATAGATAATCAGTTCGAGTTAAATATTATATTTCTTCGAAGCTGTGGTAATTGGCGAAGTTATAGCCGAGTGTCTTTACATAAAAACGAGGTTTCTCGTTACCGGCACGCAATGCGTTAATATGTGACTTGGAAGTTACACGGGCCTACAGAGGGCTAACGAAGAACGTACAAATATTTCGATGTATTTTCCGCGGAACTTCGAGGCAGGCCTTCCTTTGTTCGATCGGAACGGGCCAATTTCGCTCCGACTACGCTCGACCACATGTGCCACAAATAACGGTGCAAACCTGAACACGTTCAATTATGAAACTTCACCTCATCCTATATTCCCTGGATCTATTGCAGACTTTCGTGGTTTTCAAACATTCGAGTCGCTTCCTCGAAGAAACCGAGCAAACGTTGAATGTAATCGAAGAATCGGTTAACATTAGAACGCCGGATTTTGAAAACCAAATGGAGAACTAGAAACTCGACAAAATCTGTAGAATCCATTATTATATTTTTTTAACCGGTTAAATGTGGAATTTAGTTGGAAGAACCGTACTCGTCGAACGCAGACGAATGCGCGTAGAGTATATTTTAATGGAAGATCAGAGCGAAAGAAGAATTACATGTTTACAAATAAAGAATCCATCGCTGAAGCAATTAGTATCGTCAAGCTTTACGATCGAACACAGTTAACTGGTTAAAAAGATCGGTTACTAAATCTTCGTTCGAAGCTGCTCCAAAAACTCGGCCATTGCGATGTTACAACCTAACACCAGACCATTAGAGACTTCATTCGCTTCCGTCCGATCGATGGAAAACACGAGATTTACATGAATTTAAATAAACTCGAAAAAACATAAGCGAAGGAGAATGACTGTCGCTTCAGATCGAACGCGAGAAGCGCAGCTATTGGGTCATTAGAAACAGTTTGGCGGGAGAATTCGATCTGATTTGCTTGCACGTTTGCAGAGGTGCTGATCGAAATGGCTTGCGTCGGCATCTGCGGTTCCGACGTTCATTACCTGGTAAACGGGAAAATCGGTGATTTCGTGGTGCGCAAGCCGATGATCATCGGCCACGAATCTGCCGGCGTGGTCTCGAAGCTCGGAAAGGGTGTGACGAACTTGAAGGTACAACAGGATAAGTAACGAGCGAAAAATCGGATCCAGTTCTAATGATCGTTGGCGTTTGCTTACGTTTACCGCAGCCTTGAATACAATCGGTTGTTCAAGAACGCGACCACGACGAGTGGAATCGATCACTTTGTTTGCCTGACGTTCGTCGAATATTTACCCTAGGTTGGCGACCGAGTGGCCATCGAACCCGGAGTACCCTGCAGGGTCTGTGAATTTTGCAAGACCGGCTGTTACAATTTATGCAAGGATATTGTGTTCTGCGCCACGCCGCCGGTCCACGGCAGCCTGAGACGTTTCTACAAGCACGCCGCCGACTTTTGCTTCAAGTAAACTATGATAGGCCACGATGGCCGGTCGTAAGACTATGATATCGCTCCCTTGGAAGCCGATGCGGCCGAACCTTCGGCTACGCCGGAATTTTCCGTCGACGCGTGTTTCCGGGGAAGTCTATTCAAATTGAAACTGAATTCGATCTGAAGTAATCGTGTATTATGTAAATATAACAGAGCTTGGATCTGCGAAAGTACACTCCTAGCTTCTGAATATATTGCACAATCATTAACATCAACTTTCTCAATGTCCTTTTCCGGACTTAACCGCATTGCCTTCCGAGAGACAGAAATTCCGAGTTCTCGAATGATACGTTTCGGTTTTAGGTTGCCGGACCACGTGACCCTGGAAGAGGGAGCACTGATGGAACCTCTATCCGTGGGTGTGCACGCGTGCAAACGCGCGAATATCAGTATCGGCTCGACAGTGTTGATCCTGGGCGCAGGACCGATCGGACTCGTGTCGTTGCTGGTAGCGAAAGCCATGGGCGCTGCGAAAATCGTCATTACCGGTACGCTTTGATCGACGAAACGAACTGTTTATCTTGAAAATGGCTCGAGTCTACTTAAACAAGATCGGACGACTATCAAACAATAAACAGATTACGCAGAACTGTAACTATCGTAACGATCGACTCGATTTCTTCGAGAAAATGGAGCCACTTTCAAAGTAAATCATCGATAATCGTCGAAAATCGATCTCTCTTTCAATCCAAACGTTGTTCAGATCTGGTGCAAAACCGGTTGGACATCGCGAAGAAGCTGGGCGCCGACGACACGCTTTTGATCAGCAAGAATTTGAGCGAAGCCGAAACTGTGGCGAAGATCCACCAGCTCTGCGGAGGAGAACCGGATAAAACCATCGACGCGTGCGGAGCTCAATCGTCGATTCGCTTGGCCATTCTCGTGAGCTTTATTTCCATCGGCGTTTTATCTCTGTTTGTAATCGGCTTCGAGTCGGTACCGCCGATCGCGCGCACTCTCACATCGGTTGTTCGTCGTTGCAGGCAACAAGATCGGGCGGCGTGACGGTTTTGGTCGGCATGGGGCCAGCCGAGGTCCAAGTCCCGTTGATCAACGCACTCGTCAGGGAAGTGGATATAAGGGGCGTGTTCCGATACGCCAACGAGTACGTCTGTCGTTAACGAGAAATCTGTTGCTCGACCGTGGAAGCGGATCGTTCTCAACTAAACTTCGCTCTTTCGTTTCCGCAGTTACGCCGACGCGCTGAACCTGCTCAGCTCCCAGAAAATCGACGTGAAGCCGCTCATCACTCACAATTACAAGCTGGAGGACACCGTGGCGGCGTTCGAGACTGCCAAGTCCGGCCAAGGCGTGATCAAAGTCATGATACATTGCAAATAGAGGGGCGGACCGATCGAATAGCTATGCATGTGTAGATACATACCTGTATGTACGGTCTTTCGCGATGCAACGAGGTTCGGCAACCGTGAACTCGTCACGGGAGCCGAACGAAAACCACGTTTCGACTGTCTCGGTACACCGGTGCGTCGTGTGTATCGTTTACGCGTGTCATTGGAATCAGCCGAACGCCCATGGAAGTATCATCGATAATTGGAACCCGAACTAGACGCGACGCGTGCGCCATGGCTGTGATCCGTGTGTCTCCAGGAGATTCACGATTAACGTCGGTGTTGATGGTTTTTAAGGGGGTAGACTCTGCAGCAATAGAATACTATTCATTTCGTTGGAACGTATAAAAATTGGAAAATAAACAATTGAAACACATTGGCTTCTGAGCGTCTCGATTCTGTTTTACTAAGTTTTTAAACGTTTGAACGAAATGTCGTTCCTAGATGGTACAGATGTATAGGTGGACCGAGGCGAGTCTGTCACAGGTTTCTAATTAATAGACATTCAGCTTCGCTATCAGTCAAAGGAGTGATGAAAAACCTGAAAAACCTCCGGTTCCGAGTAAAAAACTGAAAAGTCGGGAATATCCGATCCGTCGAATATCCCGGTGAATCGGATGTTTCTAATTTTCTTCCTAATGATTCCCGATTCGCCTCGGTCTACTCCGAGCACCGGTATCTACTTCGGCTTCCGATTCTGTAGACTACGATACACGGGTCGTGTCGTGCGTGCTCATTAAGAGCAGTTTTACGAACGTCAGAAGCGAATGGCGACAGTCGTCGGCGTAGAGCCGCGTTTTGTAATTTTACTGATAAATAAAAAGCTGTTCGCGAGCGAAACGTACGATCCGAGGCGGTTATTTCGGCGGGACTGAAAGGCAGAGGCGAAGGTGTAGCAGAAATACGGAATGCACATACGCGGAGCGGTGGTTTCGAACGATTCTATGAATCAGAGCTATTCAGAGGCCCAGAGCGAACCATCTGCGACGTTGTCTGCCAACAATGACACCGCACGACTTCTTCTATTAGCCTTCTACGTTACTCGAGAGGCACTCGACGCGCACGGTCTGTTTTCGAACCGCGACTCCACTCGAGCCCCATTCTCTGCTATTCTAGAAGAATGCTCGATACACGCATAGAAATCGTCCTCGTTCCCTCCCGATCGCCCTTCCTCCCTTTCCCGCGATCGCCGGAACTCGGGTTGCGTTGCGGCGGCGGCCACGTCAGACACCGTTCTATTCCAATTACAGGAGAGCAAAGAAAAACCGGAAGAAAAGGGTGGAGGGGAAGGGGAGGGACGGAGAACGGGGTGGATGGGAAGCAGAGATGGAAAGTGGACGGCGAACGGTGTACATTATCGGGGACGGTGGATAATTAATTAGAGTGGCAACGGGAAAGTAAACAGAAATTTGGTCGGACCAGTCGAGCGCTGGGGCGGATTCGGTTCGGCCGACTGGAACATTTCGGTATATTCGGTTTGGTCTTTGGGGCAAACATAACCGACATCGGTGTGTTTCCCTCGAGAGAATCGTCGTCGACGTTCAGATCGAGGTTGTCGTTCGCGCGCGCTCGCTCGCACGCGACTGCGATGGCGCCGATTGCGGCGATGGCGGCCGCTTTCGGTGAGTAACACGGACACATCAGTCAACCGAGCAAGTAAGTAAGTATAGATTGTATTCCTGTATACGTACAGTGCCGTTCAAAAGTTCTTCACCGTTTTCGGAATCGAGTCCGTCGCGGGTAGATGCGTCGCTGTGGTTCACGCGGAGAGTGTGGCTATGAAATTCTAAGGGTAATATGTTAAATACTGTACATTAAATTACAACAGAAAACAAGCATTCTTTCTTTGTTTAAACACTCTGGCTGAAAATTCTTGAACACGCTGTAGTTATTTATTTCTGAAAGATACGTATAGAGTAAATAGTGTTGATTTTTAAACAGCATCCTCCCATTCAATATCTCCTTTATATCTCGTAATAAAGAAAAGTTCTTAAAGCCTATAAGAAAAGCTCCGGAAACGATCTAGCCAGGAACTTTCGAATGCCACTGCGAGTACCGTTCGTTGCAGCGAACTTGGCACTCTCGCCTAAGTGGTCAGTTTCTAAGGCGCACGCCTGATTGGCCGAAGCACTCACGACCACCAATCGGGTCGCGCTAGGAGACGTTTCCCGACTCGCCATTGGATTTCTCCTAGCGAAAGTCTCCGCCCTATAACGTCACGAGTGCCAAGTCTCCGGCAACCGACAGTACTCGCAACAAAGTACGCGCAGCCCGAGAAATCATTGCGGCGTTACGTTTTTCGTCCCCGGTAACGCGATACGCGACGAAGCTTCTCAGTCCCGGTGTAGCGTATAAGTTTCTAGACCGCAGATTCGTAGATTCGCTTTCACTTTGCGGTTTTCTTGGCCGGCGAGGCATGCGCGGGGCCACGATATTTTACGGAAAGATACGTTTCGAGAGCGGAAGGAAACGCGGTCGGGGCGAACGTGTAAGTACTTGCGTCACGGAAGCGACGTGGAACGTCTTCCCGTTCTTACGGTGCGGTGCAGCGGTGTTGCGGTTACGTTCCGACCGCCCCCATCTTTGACCGATAAATGAGTCACTCGGAAGTCGGCGCGGTCGAGTCGATTTTTGTAAATTTTCACGGGCACACGATGTTCTTTCCAGTTACTCGAGGATTCGCTTGTTCGCGCTTTCTGGGTCAGACAGCGCTTCTTCGTGCAGCTTCCGAATGCGTTGTGTAACAATTTCGGAAAGCGGAACATTGATTTCCCGAATGTCCGCGCTTAACCCCTTGGCGTACTATTTACCTTCTCCACTAAGCTCATATGCCATTTTACTATAGACAATGTGGAAGATATGCAACAAGATTGTCCATTCTACTTCAAGGGGAAATTTGATTTTAAGAGGATACAATAATAGCAAAATAGTTGTTGGTCAGTGGGTAACGAATAACGTCGATTGTCGTTAAATTAGTCTAGAAATCTTCATCGCGAGTCTCGCTCGTTATTGTACGGTTAACCGCGTTGAGCGACTCGAATTTTGGTTCGAAAACTGCGAAATTCGGCAACCTTAACGAAGGCGACGTAACAGAGCGTGCAACGTCTCCTTAAGGAGATCCGAGCGCGAGAAAGATTGAAATTCACTTTGCCGGACGTTTCCGCGTAAACGCGGAGCGATCGAATAGAAAATCATCGGCGAAATCGCGTTAATGCAATCAGTCCGAAGGTAATCCATTTTCCGGAGACGAGAAGCAGGTCGCCGGGAGGTGAAGGTAATTGCGTTAGAGTAATTACGTTACAACCGTACACGGATAGCACTTTTCCGAATAACCGTCTGCGTTCGGCGATAAACGAGCGGATAACCGGTACGCGGGAGCGTACAGTCGAATCGGGCGCGATCGCAAGACGCGCGAAAGGTTCGCGCAGGATATCCTCGTTCGCGGATAATCGGCGAGGAGGACAATTACGCGGGGTGGGAACGCAGGGGTTGGCGGAGGGTCGGCCAAATCAGGACGCGCGTTCGTTCGCGAAGGATGAATAGGCAGAACGCGCGACGCGAGGAACGCCACGGGAAACGGGAAACGGAAAACGGCAAGCGGCAAGCGGCAAGCGGCGGCAGGCGGCAGGCGGCAGGCGGGTTGGAACCGGAAAAGGTAGAAGGGTGGTAGTTATCTCGCGAGTTCGCGTGGGAGGTCACGTTGGATAGGGGGTAGGTGAGCCGACCCACGACCTTCGACCAATCACGATCGTTGCTTGAAACTGGCCTGCCAATAGGAGTACCGTCGGGGTGACCCCGTGCGCGATTCTCCTTGCACTTTATCACCGAGAAACCACCCCCACGGCGCTAAAGGTGAAACCTCACCTTTCCGCAGTCGCGCGGAGACTGTGCCGAGCCGTAGGTCACCGGCGACTCCGCTTTTCGAAGGGAAATCCGGGAGAATTCCGGAATATTCCCCGATCGAAGGAGGAATATCGGGGCGAATCCTGGCCGCATCGCCGGCGATATCGATTCCCGAGCGGCCTGCGACTCGGGCCTCGGTTCGAGGCGGACGCGGGATCGCGCCTTTCACCGGGACTATTTTCCTAGGGTATCGTTTCCTAGGGTTCCTTCGAAGGCTTCGCACGGACGGCTCTTCTCCGCCGCGATCCGACGTTTCATTAGTCCTCTAATGCGTTTGGTAATCCTGTGGGCCGTTGTTGGGCCCCACGAGGATCGCGGTTCTCTCGTCGTTTTTTTCTCTCTTCCTCGGGAACGGCCAAGATGCGTCTGGCGTCAGGGAACATAATATGCCGGCAGTGTGTCGGAGTGACTGATGAACCGCCGGCTAATTACCTTCTCCGCGAGCCTCGTAATACGAACATATTAATAACCCGCGTTTATATATCCGTGAAAAATGGCCGTTTCGCTGGCTCCTCGAACGTGAAACCGTCGGTCGCATGGTGCCGGTGCGCGCCGCTGTCCGGCGATCGGCGAAGAAACTCGTCGGAGACGCATCGGGAGTGCGGGAATCGTTAGTCGCCTCTCTCGCCGATACATCGATCCGTCCGGATACGCGGCGACGCGCGATTCGCGCGGTAATTCGCGGCTCGTTCGGCGGCGTGCCGGTTTATTTGCGCGCCTCATCGAGCCGAGGCGTAGCCCCGCGGAGCGACGTTCCGCCGCGGCACGGAATAACGCGATAAACCATACAAGACGGGAGAGAGGCGTCGCGACGCGATCGTGCGGAGCGTCGCCGGAGATTAAAATCGTTTAGCGTGTACAATTTAATCGCGAAGAGAGGATTCTCGCGCACAGCCGCGCAGCCGTTCGCGCGCTAATCTTCGTAAACCGGTGTGGATCCGGTGCGACGCTTCGAAAGATCAAAGCGGCCGGAGAGAGCGCGCCGCGCGTTCTTTCCGTTTCTGCTCGGATCGAATCAGAAAGGGGGAACGGGGAGGCAGGGGGCGCGCGTACGTTTTTCAGACGAGTCGCGCGGAACGATCGACGGCTCCCGGAAAGTAAAACGACCACCTTGATCTTTACCGTAATTCCGAAAAGCGACGATCACCGCGAACGCCGCCCTCCCCCCGGCCGCAATCCTCCCGTCGCGCATCCATTTAATCGCCTTCCAATCGGCCGCAGACAAATTTCCACCGACGATCGCTCTCTCTCTCTCCGGTTTCTAACCGAACCGATGATTCTGCGCCGACGTCACGCGAGGACGCGGTCTGCCACGGTAATTCATAATTCAGTCGGTTTTTCGCGGAGCACTTTGGAAATATTAAACGGGCGGCAGACGCGGACTATGCGAGGGATACGGCGACAAAGCCGCGGCGAGCTCAAAGCGCTCTTAACCCTGCATTTTTGTCCTCCTCCTCGTCCCGGTGCGCTTCCC